CCCTAGCTTGTGCTCTCTCAAAATAAATAAATGAACTTAAAAAAAAAATGTTTTTTAAATCAAAGTAATACAGAAAATATAAAAAGAGGAAAAAAAATCAATGAAACCAAAAGGTGGTTCTTTGGAAAGATTAACAAAATTGATAAATCATCTAGCCAGACTGATCATGGGGAAAAAAAAGAATACAAATTATGAATATCAAGTATGAGAGAAATGACATCACTACAGCCTTTCACAGACACCAAAAGGCTAATACTACATTTATTTGATTCAATCTGATAATTTCTGCCACTTAATTGGGGTTTTTAGGCTACTTACCATTATTTATTTATTTAAAAGACTTTACTTTTAAGTAATCTCTACACCCAAAGTGGGTCTCGAATTTATAACCTCGAGATCAAGAGTCACATGCTCTACTGACTGAGCCAGTCAGGCACCCCAAGACTATTTACTTTTATAGAGGCCAATAAACCCAACAACTTAAATGACATGGTCAAATTTCTTAAAACACAATCTACTACAGCTCACTCAAAAGGGAACAGATTATCTGGATAACCCTATACGTATCTGTTAAAGAAATTGCATTTGTAGTTTAAAAACCTTTCTAAAAAATATATCAGTCCCAGATGGCTTCACTGGTAAACTCTACTGAACATTTAAGTAAAAAGTAATAATTCCACATGAACTACTGTAGAAAATTTAAGAGGGAACACTTTCTAATTCATTCTGTAAGGCCAGGATTACTATGACAACAAAATTAGACAAAAAGTATCACAAGAAAATAATAGACAAATGTCCCTCATAATATAGATGTAAAAATTCTACACAAAATCAAGTTGGTTTGTTAAATCAAGCAAATTCAGAAAATGAGATCCAACAATATATAAAAAGTATTAATAGATCGTGATGACATAACATATCCCGGAAACCACAAATTGGTTTAGCATTCAAAAATCATTGAATGTAACTCACCATATTAACCAATAAAAAAGAAAAAACCATACAATCATCAATAGATACCGAAAAAAACACTGGACAAAATATTCACCATCCTATTCCTGATACAAACCCTCAGCAAACTACGAATTAAAAGTAAACATCTTCGGGGCGCCTGGGTGGCGCAGTCGGTTAAGCGTCCGACTTCAGCCAGGTCACGATCTCGCGGTCCGTGAGTTCGAGCCCCGCGTCGGGCTCTGGGCTGATGGCTCAAAGCCTGGAGCCTGTTTCCGATTCTGTGTCTCCCTCTCTCTCTGCCCCTCCCCTGTTCATGCTCTGTGTCTCTCTGTCCCAAAAATAAGTAAACGTTGAAAAAAAAAATTTTTTTTAAAAGTAAACATCTTCATAATGATAAAAAAATACATATGAAAACCTACAGCTAACATAATACTTAATGGAAAAAGACAATGCTATCTCCCTAAGACCAGGAGCAAGACAAAAACAACCAGTAAGGCTAAATATTTTTTGTTATGTATTGGCTATTTGTTTTGTTTTGTTTTTAAGTAAACTCTGCCTCCAATGTGAAGCTCAAATTCATGATCCTGAGATCAAGAATCACATACTCTACTGACTGAGCCAGCCAGGTGCCTCTATCAGTCTCATCTTCTATAAGTATTTTATCCTAGTTTAAGTTTACATACCTTCCTACTTTTACCATGTGAAATTTTATTTCAATGTAATCATGTAGTCATTGTGAATTATCCCAATCCGTATGCAGCCCCATCCTCTTTATTATTTTTGATGGTTTCATTTTCTTTTTTAAATGTTTATTTTTGAGAGAGACAGAGACAGAGACAGAGTGTGAGGAGGGGAGGTGCAGACAGACAGGGAGACACAGAATGCAAAGCAGGCTGCAGGCTCTGAGTTGTCAGCACAGAGCCTGATGCGAGGCTTGAAGTCATAAACTGCGAGACGCTTAACCAACTGAGCCACCCAGGCACCCTTATTTTCTAATTTTTAAAACAAATCTGGAAATTTATTTTGGTGAACAGTGAGGCTTTACTTTTTTTTTTTTCTTCCTAAAGTAGGTTCTATGCCCTGCATAGGGCTCAAACTCATGATCCTGAAATCAAGAGTCACATGCTCTACCGACTGAGCCAGCCAGGCACCCCTTTTTATTTAACTAATTATTTTTAATTTTATTTTTATTAGACTTGGTAGAGGAACAGATGAGCCATTTCTTTTAACAGGGTCAGTGATTTACAATTCTTTGTCTTTTTCTAGAATTATCATTGTCTCTCGTTTAAAGTAATTAAATCATTCTTTCATTGTGCTTTTCTATGTATTTTCACAAGAAAATAAAACTCATTATCAACAGATACTCACTGTTTAGGAAGTACTAGGAATCTCTCTTAACCTAAACTATAATTGCACTGGCGGAATCTGTCTGATACAACTATTTTGGAATGTGGGAGTCTCCTGAAGGCTTGCAACTTCCAGGAGAAGATCTGGATGGCAAATTACAGTCAATTCCAGCTCTTAGCACAGTAACAGCTACCTACCTCTGGGCCCTCAGCTAAATGGCAGGCAGCTAGCTGTGCACCTTTTCCTTTTTTTCTCCCCCATGTGTATTTATTTTTGAGAGGGAGACAGAGCGTGAGCAGAAGGGCAGAGAGAAAAGGAGACACAGAATCCGAAGCAGGCTCCAGGCTCTGAGCTGTCAGCACAGAGCCCAAGGCAGGGTTTGAATTCACAAACCGTGAGATCATGACCTGAGCCAAAATCGGATGCTTAACTGACTGAGCCACCCAGGAGCCCCTGTGCACATTTTCCTAAAGCATTGTGCACACAGTTCTGGAGAAACGAGGTAGGCAAAAAGGACCCTGTCCTCCAAATACTGGGGATCTGTGCTCTGAAAGCTGCTTCTGATCACAGAGGTGCAAAAGGGTGGGTGGCCACTGTTTTGCATTTTATTTAATAAAAA